ATATTGCTGAGTTGCTGAGAAACGAGCATTTTAAAATTTCGACCAACTTTTGAAAAATGCGACATCTCTCATATCGACAACTTTGTATTGCTCATATCTCGGCAATCATATATTTTACATAAATAGGGCTAACATTTTTCTTCGATTTACAACAAACCCAGCTTCGATTTCGTTCGCATACAGTGACCTGTATCCGGTGCGTCCTAAACTCATATTTTGTCTATTTTGGCGCCATACTGTATCGAAACGAAACATTTTCAGAAACTTTTGAAAACACCATTAGATAGATTACCTCGAATACTATAACACCTGAACGTGTGAGCTTCTAATTCGCATTTGCCCAAATAAAAACTGCATCGAAAGTAACGACTTTAGCTGAAAATGTCAGTTTTCAAAATCGATTTTCTCCCATGGTATAAGACAAATTTTGGAAATATTTGATGCATAAGTAGTTCCAACCTCGATCTATCAATAGATGAAAAAATTTCGGTGGGCAACGTTAAGCTCACTGAAAGCCCCTGGTGCCCCCGTATCACGTAGAAATCATTAAATTTTTAGAACAGTATTTTGCATTTTTTGGCTTGAAGAAAGTATTTTAAAGCGAAACCAAGCCCATATTCGTGATTAGCGTCAGAAACTGAATCGAATAATGTGCCATTCAGTCGGCTGTTCAGCAATTTGTGCAGCAAAAACAAAATTGTATTAAAAAATAACTTTCGCTATAGACTGCTATCCGTTACAAAATACAAGGCCGGTGGTTATTTTTTGAATAACTCAAAAGGAATAAAAGATAGAGACTTGCGGTTTTCATCATTCGAAGCGAAGCGAAGGCCTGAAGCTATGTTTTCATAACCAAAACCAATTTGAAAAAAATTTGAAAGACCGTTTTTTCAGGAGACCTGTGGAAAACCAGTTTAGTTCAACCCAGGGTTATATCTGAAAGTGATAAACCAGTCGCTTCGCTCTTCTTAATTACACAAAACTCAGATTGAATAGTGAACAATGTACTGAACAAAAACAAATGAACAAGAATGATGGGATAACATTTTCTAGTTGTTATAATAAAACGAGAAATACGTTTTAATAGGCAAAATATGACTGAAATCAACGAAAACCTCGTTAATAGCTATGAAATATTCATGACAATAGTCTAAGTGTTGGCTCTTGCATCTGAACATGTCGCTGATAATTTGTTCTCAAAAATATACCATGCGTTATTCAATAACAAAACAAAGTAGTGCAAGTTTTTCTAATTCAACATGTTTTCTTGCTTATATTCTAAATTTTAGATTTTTCATAGTTGCTTAAATGACAAATCATTTTTGAAAAAAAACAAATAGCAGTCAAATTTTTTAAAATTGTGCTCTTTCGATCGCATTTTTCAGACAGTAGGAACGTGAGAAAAACTCAACATGAATGTTGAACGAAGGGTGGGCGTTTTAAACAACATTTTGACTTCTTTACTCTTGTTCTTAGTTTTTGCTTTGTCATTTACCTTGAAAGTACAATTGAATGTCCCCAAATGAACAAGAATGATGTGATAACATTTTCTAGTTGTTATAATAAAACGAGAAATACATTTTATTATATTCAAATCTCTTTTCATTCAAAAAGCGAAGTATGACTGAAATCAACGAAAACCTCGTTAATAACTATATGTATCATGGACGTCGAACAATTATCAAAGAATTTTTTTCTAACACATCTATTCATGGATTACCATCTATTGCCAAAAGTCATAATTTAAAAAATTGTCTATTTTGGACAATTGCATTTTTAATATTTACAGGTTTAATGATTTATTTTATTATACTAACAATTTTAGACTATCTTAAATACACAACGCAAACAAAGGTTAAAATAATAAATGAATGGCCAATGCACTATCCGGCATTCACTATTTGTCCAGCGAGTCCATATCGTTCTGATTTATTTGAAGAACCATTTCTTAATTATACAAATTCTTCGGTATTTTTACCTAGCGCGAATTTAGGCAATAATATTAATCAATTTGCAATTGACATGATTAACATTGGAGGAATGGAAAAACTAACCGAATATGCATTTTTATTGAGTGATATGTTGATTAGTTGTACGTATAACGGGTTTAAATGTAATGAATCCGATTTTATTTGGTTTGCATCAGCCTCATACGGTATATGTTACACGTTTAATGCTAAAACAGCAAATAAAAGTATCCTTTACACAAATACTAACGGTGGTCAAGGTCTTTTGGAACTAGAACTTTATGTTCATGAAAATATTTATGTGGATTATGTCACAGATTCTGTTGGAATTGTTACAATGATTCACGACAATACTCAGATGCCACAAGTTGAATTTGGTGGAATTGCATTATCACCAGGTCGAAAACACATGTTGATCTATACAAAAAAAGAGACTGCTTTCTTGGAGTCTCCATATACAACATGTACAAGACAAGTTTGGAAAGATATGTATGCATTATATAAACAATTTGGTGCTCAATATGAATATTCTCAAATGGTGTGTTTGATGTTGTGTCAAGAAACAAGCGTCTATGCGACATGTGGCTGTATATCTCCAAATTACTGGTATGTTCGTGAAATCCTTGTTGGTGATAATGTTATTACTGTCCCAATATGTGATATATCGAATGAATGTTATTTAAACGCAACAGTCGAGTTTATGAATGATGAAGATTTACAAACCATGTATTGTTCACATTGTACATCACAATGTGAAATCACTTCGTTTATTGTTCAATCATCGTCATTCAAATCACCATTAGATTGGAAAATGCAATCGATCAAACAATCTGTCGAACAAATGTCTAATAAATCCTTTAATAGTCGACCAATTGCATTACCATCCGACTGGGATACGAACTGGATTGATTATATTGATAAAAATTATGTAGCTATTGCAGTTGTACGTGGTTCGTATCTTGTTGACTATTTTACGCAAAAAGCAACACTATCAGGAGTAGATGTTCTTAGTAATGTGGGTGGTCTTATAGGCTTGTAAGTAATAGTAATAATAGTACACCGTGGTGATTGAAAATAACTTTTTTATTTATTTTAGATGGCTTGGTGGCAGCCTGCTTTCAGTTTTTGAATTATATGAAATGTTTTATCGGATCATTCGCCGTCATATTCGTAAACGAAAAGAAGATGCAAAACCAAACTCAGCGTAACATGTTCAGAACTAAAGAGTACATTGCGCCATCTTCGAAAATATTGTTCAATCTTTAATGACTAGAAATTTTACTTATCATTTACTAGACTTTTATTGTAATGTGTAACAGCATTTATCATTTATTGTTGTTTTCTCCTAAACATGATATCGAAATACTCTAACATACAGTCCGATAGTAAATCTGCTTAGTATTTATCTAGTTGTCTAACATTGTTTGATATTTTAGTGAACGTTTGTCTTTTGATAAATTAGTATAGCACATACAGAAATGTGATCGATAGAGAAGTCAATTTTGAGAATCAAGTTATCATTGCTCGACTCAGCTTTTGTGATAGTTTTTCATAGTCTTTCACACGTGTCCCAGGGATGTAACCGGTATCAAAAATGTGATACCGGTACCGGTCATCGGTATACAAGCGTACCGGTACCGGCCGGTAACGGTTTGTCTTTATCGTTTTTTGCCTAAATACAAACACTTTTTCCTTGTTTATAGAAATATGTCATAGATCAACTGAATTTACACGATATTTTTCGCCAAATCGTATCATATCGCAAAATACCAGTAATGTCGACCGATTAATTATACTTCATACTAATACCGATCGGCCTTATAATTCATACCGGTACCGGTTGCATCTCTAACGTATCCTAAAACAATAATCAATTTATATGGTCTCCAATTATATATATTAGCTGAAAAGGCTAAATGTCAACCATTATGTGATCGTAGAAAAATGTCTTGTTTACAATACCAATGAAAGATTCTAAACAAGCACTCTACTCTTATTCATTTCAATATAATTGCAACACATTAATTGCTCGCTCTCACTATTCTTGTCAAACAGCTTAAGTTTCATTTACGAAAATTAAATTAAAAAAGAAAATTTATTTTCTTTACTATCTCTTTGTCCTTTTGACTAAATAAAGGAATGAAATAAAAGTGAAAGCATGCATTAAATTTTAACTACAGAAAAATCCCTGTGATATTTCAAAACAAAAAAATTTATTTACTATCGATTGACTACCATTTTTGAATTAAATAAGAATTTATGTTTTTTGTTTTTGAAGAATATAAAAAACTTTGTTCGTTTGTTGTCCTTTTTCTTTTGCACACATATTAAAATTACACGTTTCACAAAAAACGAAATAAAATTTTTTGCACAAATTCACAAACAAATCGAACGATCACAAATTGACAACAGAAAAAGAAAGAAAAAAAACCAAGAAAATAGTTTGGCATAGAAAAAAATGATGAATGTGATCGTGTTGAAAAACTTCACAATTGCAAGTGGATTTTTTGAACAAACACAAAAATTCTAGAGAAAAACGTTTCTTTTAGTGTGTGTAGACAGGCGTTTAAATAAAAAAACAAATGTCACAAATATTTGATCACTGTTAAACAATGAAAGACTTTTGGGCCTGTGAGTTAAATATGAGTAAAACAAAACTGATGTATGAGAGAGATTAATGAAGATAATATAAACAGTAGTGTTTCGAATTGGAATGAGGTTCCATAAAATGCTCCTGAATATGAAGCACATCGAGAATAAAGAATGTTTAACAATAAATTATAGCTATCAATTAGTAGTAATTATCAGAAAATAAAACAATGATAAAATGTATACTTTTACGCTAGAGGAAAATGGCTGGCAAACATCATTAAGATCGATATGTATGATATGTAAAATAATCATAGAAAATCAAAACAAAAAGGAATGTAGACAGCAATAACAAAATAAAAGATAATGTTATTCTGCCGATGATAATTTGATTAATTTGAGTACACATAGAATATCATCAAATAATTTTTTCGCTGTTTTAGCAATATCAACAGCAAAATCAGTCATTTTTTGATATTCTCGTTGTCTAACAGATTCAATTAATGATACAACCAAATTTGAGAAATGGTTATAACGTTGTTCAGACTAAAATAAAATAGAAATATCAATAATTATGCGTAACATACAGATATTATCGTATTTTTTTTTTTATAGTTATCAAACAATGCAAAGAATACTTTGAGATCAAATATTGATTGACAGTAATTGATTTCTCTAAGAATTTTTAGAATATGAGTAGTAAGTGTTAGAATCTAAGATTTAAGAATGAGCTCTGAACAATTTTAATACTAACCATTTCTTTGACTTCTCTTGGTGCATAATCTAGCGTTTGTAAAAGATCTCTAACAGCAATGGCTATATTTTTAACAAGCATCATTTGTTCTTTATCATCATAGACTTTTGTTGCTTGTAATTGTTGTTTGTCATGTGTTTCATCACTGTCTCCTTGACGTGTTAACGTTAATACGGTACTGATAATTTGTTTTGTTTGTGAATGAAATAAATCGATTAAATTTTCAGCAATATAACTTCGTGATGCTGTTTCTTTATTTATTTGTTTTAAATATGAATTTCCAGTACGAGAGTTCATTGTTTGATAACGTCGCAATGATGACAAATTTCCAAATGAATTATTTATAGATCTTGAATGTAAATCATTATCATTCTAAATAGACAAGAGTCATTTTTTATACAGACACAGCACAAGAAAGAGGAAATTAAAAAATGTCAAGATAATGAAGCATAAACAAGCAAAATTTTTATAGTTTCAAGAGAAAAATAGAATGAATATTCCCCTCTATTCAACTACACACCCTGAAAGTAAAACTGATAGTATTATTATTGTTCAAGCTCTAGACAAATAGCGAACGAAAATCATACTCATGCACTCAAAGAAAATCGTCAGCAGAGAGCATTTACATACGAGAATATTACTACGATGTCGAATTGTTACATTAGATAGGGTCTGAAAGAAAAAGAAAAATGAAAAGAATAAAACTCACAAAAATACGTTCTTGTTCTTGTGAATATCTATGCTGTAATTCCATCAAATAGCTTTTATCCACATTATTAGGTGTACTCATTGATGTGTGTAACAGCTATAAAAAGGAAGCAATGGATTCTATAATGCTACACACTAGTTAACATAACAATAGTATAGAAATAAATATTTTATAAATTAAAAGTTTCTGTTAGTTCGAACATAATTTGACAATATAAGCATAGAAGTGCTAAAGGAGAAAGAAAACATACTTTAGAGCCACTATTATTGTTACTAGAAAATAAAGCTGCCAATTGTAGTGTATCAGAGGTGTTAAAAGGATGACTGTTTTTGTTGTTCAACACTGGAATACACAGAAAATATATTAGGTTAATCTCACTTGAAACTACTTAAAATCACACAATTCTTTTATACGTACATAGATGATCTTTTTTTAAAATTCGCGAAGGTTTTGGTGGACATGAGTCATTTGATGGTGAAGAAGCGGAATGAAACGATGGGGATTGTGAGCGAGAAATGGATAGAGATTCAGATGCAGTTGTTGGTGTTAATAATATTGATGATGAGGATGAGGAAGAAATAGGAACAACTGATGTATCCAAAGATGGTGGATGTTGCAATATTAAAAAATCAGCACTCCATGACTGTAATATTCGATCTTTAAATTGAACAGATGAATTATCGTTTGAACGTTCAGTTTTCAATATGAATCTGAAAACAATCAAAACAATATTATTAATAAACACAAATCAGAAGATTTTTATACCTTAATCTATCTTCAATTTGTGTAAATGACGGTCTCATAGAGGGTTCGTATCGCCAGCACTCTTTCATAAGATCAAACAATTGCGGAGGACAATGTGGACTTGGCATTGGTAATCTTTCACCATTTTCTATTTTATCAATGACATCCGAATTTGGTATCCCTTCAGAGAAACAATATAAAACATTTACAATCAAAATTACAGCCATTTGTAAAACTAGACACCTTGAAATGGTTTTTCGCCCATTGTGATAATTTCCCACATACAGACACCTAAAAAAGAAATAAATCAATAAGATATTACAGAAATTTTATCTGGCTAGATGAACGGAAGAAAACAGTGTACATACCAAACATCCATACGTCACTGCAATGCGTAAATCGTCTAAAATTGACTGAGAAAAAACACACATAAAAATTAGTATTTTCAAAATGTGTCAAGAGTTCAAATACCTACTTGATTCCGGAGACATCCATTTTACAGGTAATAGCTTTCCTTTGCTAGCTGTTTAGAATAAATAGTCAGAGTCAGGTAAATAAAATTAACATAATTTATATTGATCATATTTACCTTTATAATAAGAGTTATCTATTTCTCTTGATAATCCAAAGTCTGATAATTTTACACACTCATGATTTGAAACAAGAACGTTTCTTGCAGCAATATCTCTGGAAAAAAATTGATTATCAACACTATTCTTCGTTTATCTTCAACAGAATACCTGTGCACAAATTTTTTCGTCTCCAAATAGGATAGAGACGAACTGAGTTGTTGACAATAGACTAATAATGTAATGACATCAAAATCATTGCGATTGGCAACCAAATATGATCGCAACTAAATTAATTTGAAACATTAGATACATAAATAAAAGAAAATTAATAAATTACTTCGCCTAATCTGGCTAATTCCATGATCAGAAGAACGGGATGAGTTGTACAAACACCAATGAGTTTGATAATATGTGGATGATCAAATTTTTGCATTACATCTTTAAATAACAATAATAGAATATCAAAGAGGTATGAATTATAATGCTATACGCACAAGCTTCTTCAAGAAATTTTTCGGTAGTTAAAGAATCTTGTTCTTTACACGTTTTGATTGCAATATTGAGCTCGATTTGTTGCTCAGTCTAAATAAAAATGACATGGAGTCAAAACTATTAAAATTGAGACATTTTTTATTCTTACCTTCAAAATACCACGATAAACTTCGCCAAATTGACCGTGTCCAAGTGCTTCGATCATCTGAATTTGTTTTCGATCTATTTGATAGCTAGGAGCTAGAAAAGTTTCATATTATAAAATAAAATTTCTTCAGTAAGCCTGTACTACTCACCCAATATTGCCGCATAATCGCCATTTAGTTCATCATCTTCGTCTTCCTGGAGAAAACTGTGATGTTCTGAATTAAAAGTAAATATTTAAACTTTAGATTCATATTGTATTGCAAATATTCGACACAAATATTAAAATCAAGACGACGATACATACGTCCAATAAACGAAGATGATGACTGATTGTTGCTATTGTTATTCTTATTACTCAAATGATCTGACGAAGTTATTGGTAAAAGCGGATGAGGTGCCAAAAATGGTGGAGGTGAGACACACGAACGTGACGTATTTGATTCATTGTCTACTGATCGCCATATTGATATTGTTTTGCTATTAATCAACATACAATAACCATCGATCAAAATAGCAACGTCATTTGCATCCAACAGCGATGGAAAAGTAAATGTTAAAGCCTAAAAAGTACAAAATATACGCTAATTTAATTAAAAAACTATTTAAAGAGTACAAACTTCAGCTGATCCAGCAATTGTCAATTTCATTAAACCACGATTGTCACCAGTTGATTTTGTTGTTAGAATAGCCAGTATATTTTCAAACAACGTCATTTTTGTTGACTACAAGTACATTTTGTTTATTAAATATGACTATAACTATCGATAGTAACACACCTTAGTTGAGTTTTGTGTTCGATAACTAATTCCATCATTTGGACCTATGATAAGGTAAATTGGTACTGTCCATTCAGCCTAGAAAGGTATTTAAATCAGTATCCAGAATCTAGCTTTAGTTCTCATTCTAAATTTATATTCAACAACTTACTCCAAGATTACATGTAAAAGATTCTTGTTCATAATTCCATACGTCTTTCAATAAGAAGCAAAATCGTTTCATACATTCTTCTTCTGAAAGTCCTATTAATGGGAAAAAATTTTCTATTAGCACTTTTTAAATTGAATGTAAGATGAAATAGATTACCTTCGTATTTCTTTAAACAAGTTTTAATACATTTACGAAATAATCTAGGCTGTAACATTAATACACTAACATCAAGAAACAGAAACGGCATTTAAAGAACAGAAGTACCTTGTAAGAATTAAGAACTGATTCCGGAAAAAATTTTCTTAATCCAATTTCTTTTTCTAAATAATCAATATTTATTTTCTTATCTAATGCGGTAGGATTTAAATCTTTGAATAATTTTCTTATTTCGAGACAACCAAGTTCGATGGCGTCGTTTGTTGTGCCATGATCCGACTTTGTTCGTAGATAATCAATGCGTAACTAAATAGAAAAAAAATAACAGAAAAAACAATCTAACTTATGAGCAAAAAGAACGTTTACTTGTTCATAAAAATACGCAAATGTTGCTTTATCATGGATTATTGCTTCTATGGGTTGCGGAAAATATCTCAAACGCAATTCAAATCTAAAGAAAAACATGAGATAACTTTGTAGAATGATGGACAGAAAAACATACTTTAATTCACTGACTGATCCATATGTTTTTTGAATTTTGTCCATGGTCATATCCGGATGAAGCCATTTTTCGTCGATCGTTTTCACGGATGGCGACGTTGATGTTGTAAGCTTTACTATGGGAGACGCTGCTTTATTAATAACAGTTTTTTCGACGAATGAAATACGTAATGCAAATGATAAACGATAAAATACATCATATTGTGAAAGACGAGGTCCTTTCAGTACAATCTGGATAAGCTCCTAGAAGGTGAACACATGATGAAATCGATTATGGAAGTATAACAAGACATACTCGAACGGTCGTCGTTGACGTGTAACGTAAGCCATGAAAGCTTCCATTTGGAAAATAAATTTTAAGAAAAGAACTTGATTCCATTTAAAAGTAAAATAGTCAACATACTGCTTTTATTAATCAAAGAAAAAGTTACAAAACACACATAAAAAAGAATCTAAAATAGATATCAATAGATATAAAATATCTGAATTGGTAATTTTGCGTTTTTTAAAGTGTTAAAAGAATATTTTTCTCGATCTATCTTTTGAAGGGCTTTTTTCTGGGCTGAAAAAACGCTCTGTCTCTTGTTATTAAAAAGCTATTATAAGCAACACCTTTCTATTCAAAGCAGGAGAACAAAGAAGGCAAATGGTATGACATGTGGGATGATTCGACCTTTACAAATATTCGTACCATCACTTTGCCATGCACGTGTGCGCTCGATTAGGATGCGCTAGAACAGAGCTTTTACTTAACTTCTAGTCCTAGGACAAGCTAATCCTCACACTCAGGAAGAACAGAATATATTGGCACGAGTGACATTAACTTCTGCTAACTGTAATTAACAGTGCTTAATAACGACTAGAAGAATGATTTTCAAAATTTGCCATAGAGAAGAATTAAGGTCAAGATAAGTTGTAAATAAAATATATTGTAAAAATCTTGGTTGTCAATAAACTCTGTGATTGTCCTTGGTAGATTGTATCTTTTTGTTTTGAATGTATCTGACTTTCATCAGATTTGAATCTTATTTATTTACTACGAAATTTAGATGAGAATAAGCTGCCGAAAATAGGACGAGATAAGTCAGATGAAAAAGCTAGGCACAAAACTCTTGTCTACTAAATATATAAAAATGGAAATATACGTTGTTTATAGAATTTTGCACTAAACTTTTGTCGTCTAACCATCTTTACCCTAAAAATCGTTGTTTCCTTTTAGCTCAGAATAGTAGCTGCAAGGAGATGAAGAGACTATCTACGTCAATTCGCATAAACTCTGGCTTCTTGGAGCTATTATTTAGACCTAAAAGGAAACAACGCCTAAAGAGTTTACCGAATGCTGGTAACCGAAATATTGGACTGTACGTTTCATTGGTGAATATCAAACAAAAGGAAAAGAATGGAAACGATGTCGCAAATGTATGTTTTTCGATCAACGCTATTGCAGAACTATATAAGATATAAAATCTCATCGAAAATTATTTTATTCGATTCAGGTTTCCCGTAGATTGTAAATATTAACTTTGTTTTGAATGAGAATAAGAGATATTCATTAATCTTTCGTTTTTTCAATAAACCGTGGTTAGTAGATCAAAAGTAGAGGAACTGCGGCTAGGTGAAACTCCAACTCTGCTAAGAAATCTAACCCCAACTTCGTTTTAACTTCGAATTAAAATCTGTTCGTTCTTTTTCCTTTCTGCTTTTTACTTCGTCCGTATAACGGTCGTGTTTTCTTTTATAATAGTATGTACAAAAAAATCATTATAATAAATCAAAATTACAGTTTAACAATGTTAATTTTGAAAGCATATTCTATGTCACACTATTACGATGTGATCAAAACCAAAAATCTGATTGTAAAAAAAACACGCTCTACAGGAGCTGATGCAGTCGGAGTTGAATCTGACAAAATCTGTCATCAACTCAACTTCGTTTGAAAAGTAAACTCCAACTCCGCAAAAAAAAGCTCAACTCCGGAGTTGAGTTGCCTAGTTCTGATCAGATCATATTGTATCGATCTGATCGAGAAACTTTTGAAAGCTCTTTAGCTCTAAACATTAGGCGTAAATTCGAACTCAGTATGGTCCCTTATCTTGTATGCAATAAATTTTGGGTCGAGACTCTGATAAAGCTACCTGAGTATTTATACTTAGGTAACTGTTTGGATTAGTCCAGAATACTTTTTTCACTATCGTAAATAAAAAAGTATCTTTCAAGTAGATTTAAGAAGTATAAGTACTTAAGAAAGCGGTACTTGTCAAACTTTGAAGTATCTGAGAGAGTAGTTGACAAGTTCTGATCTATAAAAATACTTTCCAAGTACTTTTCAAAATTTCTAAGTACCCAATCTCCAATACATTCACTAGGGAATACGCATAAAACGTATTCTTCATTGTTGTACTGAACGGATTTTTAAGTTCCTGGGATGGATCAAAGGCTCGATGGCATTATGAAATTCTTCAGAAGTATCTCTACTCAAAATTTCTTGTTTACAAAATAAGGGCTATGGAGAGTTCGGGTTCGAGCGAATAAGCCTTTAAAATTTCTTGATTAGGCTTATATGATTACTAGGACGCCGAAAACGATATGATTAATTGCCTATAAAAATGGATATCTATAGATCTCATATATTGTTGGGTTTGTGTTTCATGCAATATTTTCATATTCGGAAATCGGTATGAGGTGACCGTCAAATCATTTGATCAAAATATCTGAGTTACAGAGGTTTGCTTTCGTTTCTCTATTTTCCAGCTGAAAAATTATTATTCTATTCCTTCATCCTATATTTTCAGCAAACTTTTTACCAGTTCTCCTTTTAGCTGCTATTATCGGCTGATATATTCAACTAAAAGAAGCGAATTTAAATGTAGCTTATTTGAAAAAGACGCTAATGTGTGACTGAGAATATATATAATGAAACATAAGACGTAACTAACTATCGACGAAAGAAAGACTCTAAATGTTTTATTAGAATTAGATCCGGCTAATGAAGTCTCTTTTCGTTTTTGTCATAAAGAAAAGAGGAAGGAAGAGCGATGAATTCAACAATAAATTAAAGATTTTTACTTGTATGTTTTAGGTTTTAGGAAACTACAACGAATTTTATTCCGTTCGTTTTCTGGAAGAATTAAGCTCAGCGAGACCGTCAAAATTATGATCGCAAGAAATGGTCACCAAAAAATAACACTTTTGATCACCAGATTGATTAGTAGACAGGCAACAAAACGAATATGAAGAAAATATATACAACAAGAAATATGAACAGAAATTTTATTGTCAACGGTTGAAGTTTTTTTGAAATTTTATTGGTTTTGTCGACTTAGAGCATATAAATAGCGTCCCTAAACCGTATTCAACCCCACCGAAAAAATGCCGAAACAAGATTGAAAATTATTGTGCACAGCCAAATCGTATGATGAAGCAAAAGAATTAGTCACACTCAATACAACAACATATGTTAATATCGTCGATCAGATTTGAAAAATCATACGAAATATTTCGTTCAAATGCGGTGAGCACAGAAAATACCCTTTGTATTCTTTTGAACTTCAGATAATTATTATGTAGGTATCACATGTGCTGTAACATGTATTCAATTACTGACAAACCGTATTGTGAACCTTTAGGTAAGAGAAAAACTAAAGGTCGCCCAAAAAATTCGGACAGCTTTGTAGTCAGAAAGTTTGTAAACATTTTTTATATTCATTTTGTGATTAAAAGTATTATTTTCTGTAATCATCTTTCATTCATTAATTAAATTAATTAGATTCTAGTCGATGACATGGACAGGATGTTTTATTAAAAATGCTTGGCTATAATTATAATTAATTATAAAATTAATTTATTACATAAAAGATGTTCGAATTTATATCACATGTATTGCGAAACCAATATCAAAATTTTTGATGTGGAATAGTGAGCTGATTTTCACATATGTTATAGAGTTCAGCATTCTGAACAATTTTGTCATTTAGAATAGTATCAAAATCAGCTTCTGAGAGACAGTAGAGGTTTGTTTATGAGAACTTCGTGTATTTCAATGGAGTGCTTCCCCATGTACTTAATATCGGCAAAATATCGATGGTTACCGTGAGGTATATAGCCATAGTAAACGAAAATACCATCTGGTATACCGGCGGTAGCCACGCAGTATGTCACTGTATACCGACCGTATAACCAGCGGTACGGTCTGGTATTTTGTCATTATGAATACGTAGAACAAAAGTTCGAAACTAATTTTCAACTTTCTTTTTTTTATTGTGGAGCACTTGTAAGCGCAGACGGGCTCCCGATTGAGAGAAATTTGATTCGGGTCGAAGTTCATACTTCGACGGGTCTATATGATATAAAAGAAAAGTTTAATCTGAAGAAGAAATCGAAAGTTTCTCGAATTTTTCTGTTTCTTTTATATCTTCATCGGTGCAAAGTACAATGGTGAATGGATAAAAACGATTACCGTGCGGTATACCGACAGTAATTTTAAAAATAGCTCGACATGGGTCTTTGTCCCCCTATGCATAAAAAGAAAAAAAAGACAATTTCGAGCGTAGTTGATTGTGTCTTAAGTAGCTTAATGAGTTTAAACGATGATGAGCTCAAAATCATATGAGAGAGAGAGAAAGATCTGGACTACAAAATGAGGTATTTTTCAACTAACTATCTCTATAGCTTACTTAGCAGTCAATTATTAATTAAAACTCCATGTATCGGAATGGAGTGTCCCTTTTTCCCCCACTCGGGGGAAAAAGAGACACTTCCTTAGGGCCCTTCGCATTTTGGTTCAAAATGGGTCAGATTTTTAAGAGAAGAGAAGATTTTTACATCAACGGATAGAAAAATGTTCGCTCTACCACCATGTTCAACAGCAAGTTTTTCCGACCAAAAATGATTAAGAACTAAAAGTACGACAAAAACTTGAAAAGATGTCTCTTTTATCCCACATAGCACTCCAGTATATCTAATTTTGAAATGGTGATTTTATCATAATATAGTTGTGATGGTAATCATTGTGAGTGATTTTTCGACGTTTCTAAGCGTCTAACTCAGTGTATCATAAGTTACCCAGCCTCTTCTTTCGCACACTTGCCCTATAAAAAAAATTCCAGTGCGCACCGGTGCGCATGGCATGCCATCGGTCACTGGCACCGGTGTGCACCCGTGCTCAGAAAGTGCCGAACCAGTGTCGATTGGCACCAGTGCCGCTATATTTCTGCCGAAAGAGTGCCGCACTGGTAAAAATCAGTACCGCATTAGCAAAAATCGGTGCTACACTGATAATTTATTTAATCAATTTAATTCGTTCTTTATTATGGTTGTTTGTGCTGAATTTTGTATTAGAGTGC